GTCCGAGGTGAGTAAGGCGGCGAAGCTGATAAAAACAAGACCTCACTATGGAGTTTATCTGTGGGGCCATTGTGAGTCCAGCATCCAGCTTGACCCCGAGATTAGAGACTGAAGGCACTTTGGCCTTTTGCCGATCTAATAAATGCAAATATTGTTTCTTTTTAATCTCTTGTTTGAATGGGAGCTGTTACTTTTTCTAAACTATCAAAAAAAGTATAATTACTATAATTTCCATGATTAGACAGGATAAATAGGTCTGTCGATACCTGTGCATGCCCCTTTATCAGTACCAGGGTTGTAAATTATACCTATAATATGGATTACTACAAAACCTGTTGGTTAGACACAATTTCTCCCTCCAACCTGATGGTAGGATTTCTCTCCATTAAATAGTACACGCCTGCCTTCAAAGAGAGCTGTGTGCATTTCTGCCTCTGTTCTCTCGCGCATGTGTTCAACGTGCTGCCTGAGATTCTGCTGCGATTTGTTTCCATTTGGCGCTTTGTTGAAATTGTCTGGAGATATGACAATTCATGCTGCAGACTTCTTACTCACATCCACCTGAGACGATGATAAAGAGTTGATTGAAGACTTGTCAGCCCAGTTGATAACGTTTAAATCAAAAGTTCTGCTCAGGGCGCACTTGTCTGAGCCCCGTGTTGCAGAGATGTGCTTCAAACTGACAACAATCTCAGCTTGAGCAGCAAAAAAGCTGAGCTGGGCTACTTACCAAAAGCTACATCCCAGCATAACTCAGTGTTTTTTTTAATCAAGTCATCGTGGACTGACCTGTTTCAATGTAGTAACAAGACTTGTTTAAAGGTTAAGTTGAGCAGGATTTCAGAATAAAAGAATTCAATACAATTCTGTCTCTTTAGTTCCAAGCTTGTAGCTCTTAAAATAGAAAATGTCAAAATCTCACACTTGTTTGCAACAACCTTTCAACGAGCTTGACTTGTTGTGTGGGAAAACCCTGACATTTCAAGGTAGCGGGTTATTCGCCCGCCATAATTTATAATTTACTCCGTCTGCTGAATCCAATATGTTCTGTGATAGAAATCAGCTCCTGAAATCAATCCATTCAGTATCGCTTATAGAGCCGTGACTATAAATCACCCCAGAAGTAAATTACCTGCTCGTCCAATCTTCTGATTACCTGGTGCTGTTGTTTTTGATTGTTTTGTTTTCCATATTTAGCTCCTAGAGGCCAGGTCCATGGCATGTTTGTTACAAAAGCCGGTTTTTGTCAGATGGATACTGGCTACTTCATATAAGTATTTGTTTATATTTTAGTATGTTAATATTTAAAAATAGAGTTGGTTCTTGACTTTAAATAGACTGTTTCCCAGAAGACATAAAACTATTATTCAATTATATACAGCAGTTGGTGTTTTGTTTTGTTTGTTTGTTTGTTTGTGTTAGTTAGTTAGTTAGTTAGTTAGTTAGTTAGTTAGTTAGTTAGTTAGTTAGTTAGTTAGTTAGTCAGTTAGTCAGTTAGTTAGTTAGTTAGTTAGTTAGTTAGTTAGTTAGTTAGTTAGTTAGTTAGTTAGTTAGTTAGTCAGTTAGTTAGTTTGTTTGTGGGCTGCATTTGTCCTGGTAAATAGATTGAGGTATGCAAATTATAATATTACATTGTTATATCAAACATGGTGCATTTGATGTTAAATTATTCAATAATAATCTGTAAATAAAGACTGTTATTTGTATGTTTGTTAGCTAAATATCCATATAAATATGTAGAAGATAGCAGACACTAAAATGTCTATATCAGGTTCACATTTACTGAACTATAAGATTTGGTGTTGTGGTCCAACACGTGACACAGTCAGTGTGAAAGGTTTAATGAGTGCACATTGTGAGAGTGACATTAGAAACAGTGGAGGCGACATAGACCACCATAGAAGTGTTAATGCTAACACCTTTTTCTCTTTTCATCTTTATTGTCGTGGGTATCTGTCGACTTTTAGTGTTGAATACTTCCATTTCAAACATTAAGGCAAGCTGCTATAGTGAATCTACACAACAAGTTAGGTTTTGAACGCAAACACGGTCACAGACCCCCCCCCCCCCCCCCCCCCCCCCCCCAGTTTTATTAATTATCTTCTGTTGAAAGAGAAATCTGATGTACTCGAGTGACCGGTATGGCTGCTGTCACCTGTTGTGATCAGTAAAAGCAGCTGCCTGCTGCGGCTCCCAGTGTTTTCTTTACTGTGGGAAACGGGTAATAATGGCTCTTTGGTGGGAAAAGGTTGTCGACCCCTGCCTTAGACACTTCTGCCAGAATCACTAACCCACATTGCCAGAAGAAACAAGATAGTGCTAAACACCAGTCAGCGTTTTGTAGGTCCAAACGTCTTTTGTTTCCGTAACTTCTAATAGTGTTTTATTGTTTTGGGACTCTAGTAGTTTGTCTTAAAATTTAATTGGTAGCAGCTGGCTGTTTCACCTATGATATTATTGAGTGTAGAACCTCTCACACCAGTGGTGTTCTGTAGTTAAATATGAGTGTGTAATTAATGGAGGACCCAGGGAAGGCAGTGAAGTGTCCTGTAGTAGCTTTTGGTCTGAAACGTGTTATTGGCTGAGGTTTATAGACAAATGCAAGAGAACTACATTTTTTCTTTATTCTTTTCTTTATCTCCCTAATATATTCATAGCTTTACTAGTTTAGAACATTTTTAAGAGGCATGAAAAATGTTTCATGCTAATTTGCAGATTATCTTTTTCTTTATCGTCTTATTTTTCTTCATCTTTCTCTTTTTCCTCCTCCAGCTTTTTCCTTTCAGGGGTCACTACAGTAGATCACCTGGCTCCATCTAACCCTGTCCTCCACATTCTGTACTCTCCCACCACCAATTAGCTTCATGTCCTTTTTCACTGCTTCCATAAGTCTTCTCTTTGGTCCTCCTCCTGGGCTGCTGCTTGGCAATTCCAACCTATCCCTACTTCCACCAATACACTCATCATTAGATGATCTTAGTTTATATCTGGTGTAAAAAGCAGCATGCAGTTTGCATTACATTACAAATCTCTAAAATCATCCTTCAGAAAACCACTTTAAGGCTAAATCAGCCTTTAAATATCTATAAATGTTGTCAACTTTATGTTAACTTCACCTGAATTCCTTATAACACAGATGGTTTCTAAATATTATGAATTTCTAGTGATTTTAAAATACGCTGAAATCCATTTTTTTCTCCCATGCCAGGATTTTTTTTCTTTTATAATAGCTGGGTTTGGAGATGAGGAGGTGTGGACTGAGAAATCAAATAGTATTGTATGATAAAGAAATACTTGTTATGAATTCAAAACTTCTTCCGGCTCTTGGAGAATACAGATGCGTTTTTCCTCCTCTCCTCCCTATCTTATCCCAAGGCTCTTTGTCTGTCTCTGGGTGTACGGCACTTCTGCATTTTTTCTGGAAAACTGCAAACTTAAATTACTAAAATGGACCTAGTCAGTTGGTCTCTCAACGCGATTGACGAAATTTTTTCAACGATGAGAACGGGAGAAGGGGCTCCCGGGTGCCCCTCTGGGACAGATCCAGTAAATGGCCTGTATTTGATATAGCGCCTTCTAGAGTCCTGGAACCCCCCAAGGCGTTTTACAACACAATCAGTCATTCACCCATTCACACACACATTCACACACTGGTGGGGATGAGCTACAATGTAGCCACAGCTGCCCTGGGGCGCACTGACAGAGGCGAGGCTGCTGAGCACTGGCGCCACCGGTCATTCCGACCACCACCAGCAGGCAACATGGGTTAAGTGTCTTGCCCAAGGACACAACGACAGCGACAGACTGAGCGGGGCTTGACCCTGCAACCTTCCGCTTACGGGGCGAGCACTTAACTCCTGTGCCACCGTCGCCCCACAACGGTAGGGCATATCATGGACTCCTGGAAACAGTGGAACCTGATTTGCTTATCTCAACTGTCAGTAGAGGATTCTGAAGACGTATAGATATTCGTGGTGTTGGTGTCAGGTTTCCTGCTTTTTGGCCTGGGAGGTCACCTGGCTTACCAGAAAATTTACGAGCTGTCGAGGAATATTGGCTCTTTTCCCGGAGCTCAGGGATGGATTACACCGCGCTGTGAATGCACAGACTCATATAATTGTCAAAATGAGTCGTAAGCTTGGAACTTTGGCTGAGATTCATGTGCAATCAAGCAGCGAGTGGACGAATCAGCACGGATTGGGATTGATCAACTGTGCCATTATTGGATTCAAAGGCGTTGAGGACCAACAGAACTTTAAGACAGAGAGGAAAGTATCTCTGTCTGGCCCCAAAACAATTTCTTATCTGAATCTGGTGCCCTTGAGCCTGTGAGGCTGAAACAACTACCCCCCTCAGAAGAAATGTGGAATGCTGCCGTTGCCATGACAACTCTGTCTCTCTATCCCAGCCTGGGTGGGACTGCGAGCTGTGAAGGCCGCTGAATCGTTCCAGGAGTCACTGTGCTCTCTAAACCCAACGACCTCCCAATTGGTGGTGGTGGTGGTGGTGGGGGTGGGGGGTGGGGGGGGGGGTCCAGGATTCTAGAAGGCGCTATATCAAATACAGGCCATTTACTAACTGAATGTTCTGGACATGCTTTATAATAAAAGGTCAAAGTGTTTTCAGGTCAGGAAAATGCCTCAAAAATACCAACGATGAAAGTAACTCAAATCTGAGTTAACAGTTTCTTTGTGGGAATGTTTAATTTAAACTTTCCTATTATGTTATTCCACCTTTAATTAATATTTAAAATCTCAAATCCTCCATGAGACCTGGGGGAAGCGAGACTAACACATCTAACCACTTGAAATTTTCTCATCATCTTTAATTGCTTTTCCTTCATTTGCTTTGCTGCCCGCTGTCACAGCCCAGTTGTACTCGTAACAAATCACTGCACACTGTAATTAATTTTTCATTGTTTCCACTAACCATTTAAGTGTCGCTAACCAGCTGTTAAATTGTGTTAATTTTTATCTCTTTGTTTACTTCTGTTCTTGCAGAATGAGTACACCTGTCCACGCCCCCTACCTGGTGCCTGGTTAGGAGACGTGCCTACAATCCATTAATTCTCAGAAAGGACACTTGTTGGACAACGCAACAAATCAAGGAGAGACACCATATGCAGAGGAACTAACCAGGATCCTGTCATTCCAAAAAGACAACTATGGACCAGAAGAAAGGGGAGATATTACAACTTTTTTTCAAACAATTTTATAGCATCTTTTTGTGGTCTTTGGCTTTGGCATGTTTCACAAACAAAGAAGTCTGTGGGCAATGTTCTTTATGGAGAACATCAGAGCCTTGAAGGACAAACTAATAGGATAGGCATAAACGTTACAACTTTTTTGTAATAAAAAGGCTCTCTCCAGCAGGACAACATGGCAGTGTACAAAAAGAGGGTGAGGACTCCTCCCATGACACACCTGTGTATAATTTAAAGAGGGTTTCCATATTTTAAATTCATAAAAAGCATAAATATATCATTTTTTCAAAACCTTTTTTAAAAGAAAGATTATTCCTATGTGCAATGATAGTACCTCACTGGAGCAGAAAATCACACACAGGTTTTAGTTCAGTGAATCTACCTTTTTCCAGCTGGAAGAGTTTTAAAGCTTGTGAAAACTGCTCCTACTGTTTTAATTAAAAAAAATTATTGGGGGGGGGGGGATTTTTCCCCAAATTTTCTTTTAAATGCAACCAGGCATCAATTTGGCGGCCAATAAGAGACAAAAGAACACAAGAAACGCTCTTCAATCCATGATAAAAGTGTAATTTCCTAAAATTCTAATGTTGTTGATGTTGTACTTTTATTAGTATATGTCTATGCCGGTTGCAGCATCTGATACCAAAGAGCCAAATGGATCTTTGTTTGCTTTTGGCTCACCTTAACACAACGGTGGGGGTGGGGTGGGGGTGGGGGGGGGTGGGGGGGGGACACGAGACAAGGAGTCGGCTCCATTCACATCCAGCAGTGCTCTGCAACTGAAGTGGCTTTTTAAATGTGTGCAATGTGTATGTCTTTGTGAATAAATGATCTTGCAGAGGCAGGTCGAACTTGTCTGGAAGATAACTGCTTCACATTGTATAACTTTTGTTAAATGCTTCACTTTCCTTAAAATAACCACCCCATCCTCCCCTCCTTCCTCCTTTAAATGACTGCGTGTGGATGTGCACGGTTCTGCGTGGGCTTGTGTTCCTGCTCTTTTAATTTTGTTATTGTATTTGAGACCCACTGAGTGATGGACTGTTTATTTTAATCTTTAACCTTTCTACACAGAAAAAAATAATTTTCTAATGTAAAATTTTTGCTTCAGCCCCGCCCTCTGGAATTTCCTGATTCTTAGTAAGCAGCCGTATTCTTTGTTCTCTTTCAACAGTATGTTTTATAATAAAAAGTGAGGATTTTACTGGTGAGCAATATGAATTGGTCAAATTAAACAACTGATTGATCTTTTCTTCGAGTTCTGTGTTTTCTTGTGTGCTCTGATTTAATTTAAGATGGTTATGGCTGAAACGTGCCATTTCCTCTCCACGGATCCCCTCAGAAGAGGCCGTAGCATCAACATTAGCCTCATTAATTTAGAGAGCAGAACATTGATCCCTGTTCGACCGCTCTGTTCATCATGACGCTCTCCACGGCCTCCACCAGCCCTCTAATTATGCTTCCTGCGTAATGTGTTGCATGTCGCAGAAGGGGGCCCGTGCTCGGCTAATTTGCTCCATGTTTGCTGCTCTTGGAACATGTCAAGCTGTCAGCTCAGAGGTTCAGATGGCCAATCTGTCCAGCACTTGCTGTGGTATTTTCTCCTCACTTACCTACATCCCTTCCCCTCAATGTTTCACCCTCGCTCATGCTTTCCATCTCTCTGCAGGGAGCCCAAATTGCGCTCAATTTGAGCTTATCCAGATTAGCGTGACATCATCCCTGCCTCCTTGCCACCTGACTTTAAAGGGTCAAAACACTAAAAGAAAAGTTTTTGCCATCTAGTCAAGCAAATGACTACAGCTTTGCAGGAGCTGCAGTTCTTTCTGCTAAATATGCAAGGCAGGAGCTTGCAGTGTTCACGCCAAGGCTGAGGCATTTCTTCCCCGTAACAGTGTAGATTTTTTTAAGTACTAAGCTGGATTCTTTTTGAAAAAACAATATTTATAAATAATTAGTGATCATGAGGTTTGAAATGTCCAGAGTATTTAGTTTCAATAAACTATTTGCTTTTGCAAGAGAAATTAAAGATTCAAGATCATTTTAGTGTCATCGCACCGGTGTACAACGCAACTTTGCCACACAGCCAGTTTAAGGAGCAAAAATGTCAACTTCTAAACACAAACATGGTTATACGACTATTGTAAACTATAAACTAAAATATAAAGTAAGCATAAAATAAATGTAAGCGGTCACATGAGGTATCAGGATGAACTAGCTAAATGTAAAGGTGCTCTAGCGCACTAATTGTCCACACAGAATCCCTGTTAGTGTGACTTCAGCAACATTCAGTTCAGTGATGGCTCTCGGATAAAAGCTGTTTAACAGCCTGGTGGTGTGGGTATCGACAGAAGAAGTCTGAAGAGATGGTTAGCAGGGTGGGTAGTTCTTTAGGATGACAGTTAGTGGTGAAGATGTCATCCAGGGCAGGGCATCTACTAGTAAAAGGAGTGAAAAAAAATTATTCTGCATTTGAAGAAACAATTGCAAGTTGATCTTAAGTTGAAGTATTTTCTTGTATCAAAATTGTAATATTTAATCACGCAGCCAAGAAGAGAGTTTAATCTCGTCTCGTCTCGTCTTCCTCCGCTTATCCGGGTCCGGGTCGCGGGGGCAGCATCCCAACTAGGGAGCTCCAGGCCGTCCTCTCCCCGGCCTTGTCCACCAGCTCCTCCGGCAGGACCTCAAGGCGTTCCCGGACCAGATTGGAGATGTAACCTCTCCAACGTGTCCTGGGTCGACCCGGGGGCCTTCTGCCGGCAGGACATGCCCGAAACACCTCCCCGGGGAGGCGTCCAGGAGGCATCCTGACCAGATGCCCAAACCACCTCAACTGGCTCCTTTCGATCCGGAGGAGCAGCGGTTCTACTCCGAGTCCCTCCCGAATGTCCGAGCTCCTCACCCTATCTCTAAGGCTGAGCCCGGCCACCCTACGGAGGAAACTCATTTCGGCCGCTTGTATCCGCGATCTCGTTCTTTCAGTCATTACCCAAAGCTCATGACCATAGGTGAGGATTGGGACGTAGATCGACCGGTAAATCGAGAGCCTGGCTTTCTGGCTCAGCTCCCTCTTCCCCACGACAGATCGGCTCAGCATCCGCATCACTGCAGACGCCGAACCAATCCGCCTGTCGATCTCCCGATCCCTCCTACCCTCACTCGTGAACAAGACCCCGAGATACTTAAACTCCTCCACTTGAGGTAGGACCTCTCCCCCGACCCGGAGGTGGCAAGCCACCCTTTTCCGGTCGAGAACCATGGTCTCAGATTTGGAGGTGCTGATCCTCATCCCAGCCGCTTCACATTCGGCCGCGAACCTACCCAGCAAGAGCTGAAGGTCAGAGCAGGATGAAGCTAGGAGGACCACATCATCCGCAAAAAGCAGAGACGAGATTCTCCTGCCACCAAACTCGACACACTCCACACCACGGCTGCGTCTAGAAATTCTGTCCATAAAAGTGATGAACAGAACCGGTGACAAAGGGCAGCCCTGGCGGAGTCCAACCCTCACTGGGAACAGGTCCGACTTACTACCGGCTATGCGGACCAAACTCACGCTCCTCTGGTAAAGGGACTGAATGGCCCTTAACAGAAAGCCACCCACCCCATACTCCTGGAGCGTCCCCCACAGGGTGCCCCTGGGGACACGGTCATAAGCCTTCTCCAAATCCACAAAGCACATGTGGATTGGTTGGGCAAACTCCCATGCCCCCTCCATCACCCTTGCAAGGGTATAGAGCTGGTCCACAGTTCCACGGCCAGGACGAAAACCACATTGCTCCTCCTCTATCTGAGATTCAACTATCGATCGGACCCTCCTCTCCAGTACCTTGGAGTAGACCTTTCCAGGGAGGCTGAGGAGTGTGATCCCCCTATAGTTGGAACACACCCTCAGGTCACCCTTCTTAAAGATGGGGACCACCACCCCGGTCTGCCACTCCCTAGGAACTGCCCCCGATGACCACGCAATGTTGCAGAGACGTGTCAACCATGACAGCCCTACAACATCCATAGCCTTGAGATACCCAGGACGAACCTCATCCGCCCCCGGGGCTCCGCCGCTGTGTAGTTGTTTGACTACCTCAGCAACTTCTGCCCCCGAGATCGGACAGTCCATCCCCAGGCCTCCCAGCTCTGGTTCCTCCTCGGAATGCGCATTGGTGGGATTGAGGAGTAATTTTCTAAAGACCCTGAGGTAACTTTAGTTGTCTCCAGATGAAATTACTTTTATTACTGCAGAAAGTGTTGTTTTGTTTTGTTACACAAATACCACACGAAGATCGTGATGTGAAATGTGTCCTTTTGATCTGCATCATGCCCTCTAAGATGTTCAGTAACAGGAAGACTGACTGTTTTGCTGCAACAGTTTGAGTGGTTTCTGTTGTTCTTTTCAGTTTCTACTCAGAATCATCCTTCCTGTGATGCTGGTGTTGGTTTTTTCCTGATCCTCACTTGATTTGTTTTGCTGCCCCCATCTGGTCCACGTTCTGCAATCAATTCTCCCAATACATGTAGTCCTCAGGTTTTCAGTGTCATGGTCGAATCCTCTGTTGTCTGTCTGGTTTTCTCCCACCAGGCCCTGCTTACAGGTTTTATTTTATATTATTCCAATGTGTTTATTTCTGGATGTAGCAAATAAACCATTCTGGATCATTCCCTCCTGCTGCTGATGTTTACTTGGCCGATGAAGCTCCTAAAAGCATTGATGCTGCCTACTCAGTTGTGTTGGGAAATGGATAATTTCTCAACTCTTTAAGTTTTCAGCAGCACCACCTGATGATCAACAACATCGACATATAAGACATTTGAATAAATCCATAACCAAACAAGGTTTAAATGTTTATTTGATTTGAATGTAACCTTTGTTTAAGCTAGAAAGACCTTTGGAAAACATCTAATGTACAGGAGTGTCCTGTCCAACACAGGCAGCAGCTCAAGCAGCACAAATTGAACTCTTTTGACCATGACTTCTCTCTATCTGTGATTTACAGCTTTGATAAGTTAAATTTTTTTTACAATTTTAACTACGAGCAAGACAAATTAATAGCTTTCAGTTCACTTTTCTCAATCTGCAGTTTCACAATTTTCTTCATTCACACTTTATTTTCACTTCTATCTGTGCCTATTCAGCATCAGACAGACTGTTTCAATTAATTCAATTCAATCCAGTTTATTTATATAGCGCCAAATCACAACAAGAGTCGTCTCAAGGCACTTCACATAGTAAACATTCCAATTCAGGTCAGTTCATTACGCCAGTCAGAAAAAAGTTTCCTACATAAGGAACCCAGCAGGTTACATCGAGTCAGTGACTTTACAGCAATCCTCATACTAAGCAAGCATGCAGTGACAGTGGAGAGGAAAACTCCCTTTTAACAAGAGGAAACCTCCAGATGATCCTGGCTCCATTAGCATATGTTCGAGGTTTCCCTTGTTCAAAAAAATCTAAAGATGGACTTCCATCACAAACACAACAAGCAGATAACTGACAGAAAGATGGATTTTTCTATGAGTAATGGAAGAAGAGCAAAGACTATCTTCTATCATGTCCAGAACAACATTTGCACCACAAAGCTTGTTTTTATTACAGGCAGTTTTCTTCCACTGCCTTCCATTTGTTATATATGTGTATATATACATACATACATACATATATATATATATATATATATATATATATATATATATATATAT